CCACTTAACTAGAAAAAGAAGAACCACTGGAATGTGGAGCACGATAAATGATACGCTGAGTGAAAGAAGCCTTATATAAGAGAGTGACTATGATCCCATTCTATGGGTTATAAGGCACACACAACTAATCTGCAATGGAAAGAATCAGAGTAGAAGTTGCCTCTGGGAAGCAGGGGTGGGAATGACCTGAGAAGGAGGTGAGAGAACTCTTCAGGGATTGGCTTGCGCAGATGTTTGCATTTGCCAAAACGCGGAGAACTGGAGATTTGTGCATTTCATTGTATACAAATTTTACAACAAAAGAAAAACCTCAAAAACAAATATTGAGCTGTAGGTAACAGCGTACACTCTGCTCAGAGAGAAGGGTACTGATGTTTGAAGTGTACTTTGGTGAACTGACAATGGGTGGAGGATGGGTAAATATTTAATAACACAAACATGTGTGAATTGTGCTGTAGAGTTAAGATTTTTCTCATTAAATATGGTGGGAAGCCGGGCTGGGTGGCTCAGCCTGTCATCCCACGCTTTGGGAGGCTGAGGTGAGTGGATCGCTTGAGCCCACGGGTTCGAGACCCGCCTGGGCAACTTGGCGAGACCTCCTCTCTACAATAAATCAAAAATTAGCTGGGCGTGGTAGCACGTGCCTGTAATTCTGGCCACTGGGAAGGCTGAGGCGGAAGGATCGCCGGAGCCCAGCAGGTCGAGGCCGCCGCTGCACTCCAGTCTGGGTGACAGAGTGAGACTCCAACTAAAATTTTTTAAAATGGCGGGAAAAAATTACCTAATTATTCGCAGCAGTGAGAATGAACAGATGCTGCTACATAACAAGGTGCAGGTAAGTTTTACGAGCCTAATGTGGAACAAAGAGAGGTAGGGCACAAAAGGATACATAAGGCACAGTTCCATTAATATGGAATATAAAAGCAGGTAAACTTTTTTGCAGAAAATCATGAAGTGCTTGTGTTTGGGAAAGAGGAACTTGGGACACTGGGAGAGAGAGGAGGAAGGATTCTGGGGGCTCATAGTGTTTTATTTCTTGATCTGAATGGTGATGACACTGACATGCTCATTTTGTGAAAATTCAACAGATTTGTGTCCTGTTCTTGTATGCATTTTTTAAATAATTGTTAAAATTTTTTTTAAGAGCCAGTGTAAGTCCTGGTATAAAAAAAACTAAACATATCTAGAATTATAGAATAAAAAGACAAAAAGACGGAAAACATAAAAGGAAACATTAAATACAGACAAGGTCACACAGGAAAGTCAATGTCCACCTAAAAGCAGTTTTAAAGGAGAACACACAGGAAAAGTAGGAGAGGCGATCATCCAAGTAATAATAGACAAATAAATTGTAAAATTTAAGGAAAACATGAAACTTCAGTTCAAAAATGCCAAACAGTATGTAGCCACATTTTAAAAAAAAGACATAGCTTGAAATACCTTATGAAATTTTACATTACTGAGGGTAAAAAGATACTAAAAATTACTAAACAGAAGAAGGAAAAGAAAACAAAACAATCCTTTATATAAAGGAAGGAAAGTCAGATGAGCATCAGACTTCGTTTTAACAACACTGAATTCTAGAAGACAATGGAGTAATGTCTTTGTGATATTGCATAAAAACTATTTTGACCCTTAAATAGCCTATACATCAAAATTATATGAAGACTTGAACAAAAAACAGACTTACAAAAACTTCTGAAGATGTCATCTTATATACATTTGGAGGTGGCAGTAGAAGAACTACTTAAGGAGATATTCTGGGAAAAAGAGAAATATTTCAAGAAAAATTATATTTAAATCCAGAAAACAGTGGTATTAAATCAGGAGTGAATTACATGATGATTGCGGAGCAGCAGAAGCTGGATGTACCCACCCAACTTTTTACAATTAAAAAACTTGGTATTAATGAAAATGAGGTTGAAATAGGGGAAATTGTATACGTCAAGAAAATCATGGTCTTAAAAGACAGCAAACTAAACAAGGCATAATCCTGAAGAATTGATTTACAGATTCTCTCCCACTTAGGATGGTTTGACTCACAGTTTTTCAACTTGATGGTGCAAAAGTGATACACATTCAGTATACTCTTTGACTTAGAATGGGGATACCTGTCCAGATAAACGCCCCCTACATTGAAAGCATCCTACATTGAAAAGGCACTTTTAAATCTAGGATGAGTTTATTGTAATTAAGTCCATTGTAAGTCCAGGAGTATCTATAGGTTGAAGGGATAAGAATTCATAGTGTTTCAATTGTTTAAGGGTCTGCTGCTGAGGACACAGGGTTATATCTTTTGCACTAAACTCACTGTATTCATGTTTTATTCATGGACACTATCAGTTCCTTAAAAACTCTTTTTAAGGCAAAGATTCCATAAACTAGAATCTTTTTTCCTTCCATTTCTATGTGCAAAGTTGTGATTGTTACTTTAGTCTTCCCAAAGTCCCATTATAATTATGTTTAATTTGTAAGAATCACTTATACAAAAATCAGAGTAGTTTATGCAAAGTTTCATAGGCAATGCTATTTGTACACTATATAAAAGATGATTATAAATCCTTTAAAATCCTTTGGGTTTTGTCAATCATGTACAAGCAAGTGCTTAAACATGTTACTTTCTATCTTTAGACTAAATATTAAAATAAATGACCCATGGATGCCTCATAAACCGGGACTGTCTTTTTATTGTTTAAAATGAACTTGAATACAGACCAATTTTAAAGGACTTTGGTCTCCTTACAAGATCATTTGTAGTTGTGCAGGCAAGATACTGTCTGCCGCTCAGCTTGTAAAGGCAGCCAAAAATCAGTGCTAACCCACCTAACCCCAGGCTGAGTTCATAAAGAGCTTCTTGAATCTTTGTAACCATTCATGAATTTCCTTGAATTTCAATTATTTTACCTGCTGTTTCCCTCTACAATTGACTTCTTGGTTAGTGGTTAGCTGTGAGTATCTCATGTTAAAATTTGTCCTTGTTTTTCATAGGTTCTGTTTATAATGTGAAAAGTTATAAAATAGAACATACATAGTTATAATGGTCCATTTATACATCATGGGATCATTGCATTGCATAATATTAGTAATAACATTAAATGCCACTTTATGCCAGGTTATATAAGACAATATACATGGTTTACTTCCTTTAATCCTCACAACCTGCAGAGGAGCTCACCTGTTTTAAAGATGAGGAAACGAAGACCTGAGATCTGAATGAACCTGTCAAAGGCTGCAAAGCAGAAGACTCAGGATGAGAACGCAGGCAATAGGACTCCAGAGTCGATTCTTAGCCGCTGTGTGTTTCTAAGTACTGCTGGTTCTGCAATGAATATTTATTTATATAGTTATAAAATTGTAAACGATACCTATTGACTTCAAATTTTCCAAATTAATCTAAACAAAGCATCTTGTATTCAATCATGGTTCAGGATAACATGCTAAAATTTCATATCTTGACCATACCAAACAATGGTTTGGTAAAAGCAAAATAGCTGATGGTTTTAGGAATAGCCAAAGTGTGGCGGAAACACAGGGATGTACATTTCCTGTGCTACAAAGAGAGGCCTCAAGGATTTTTGTCTGAAGTTGATTGATCTAGAAACAGAGTTTGGGGTATAGGTTTTATTATTTTTATTTTTCATTTTTTTAGACTAGAAAATATAGTGTATTTAGAAAGTAAGTTAGAGAGAGGAGATTCGCCTCCCCAAGGTAGGGGAGGGTGTCTAAGCCAGGAAATATGGCCTGGCCTTAACTCAAGGAGCACAGGGCACATCTTAGCAAGGCAATGGCTGCAATGGCCTACCAATGGCTGGGTATCGTTTTTAAAATTATAAATGGGGCCATTGCTTTGCTAAACTCTGATCTGACCACATGGCTCTTTGAGTCTTTGAGCTATGGCCACCATGTTTTCCTAGATTGGCCCCCTCTCCTACTTTGGGGAGCTGAATCCCTTCTCTCTTTCTAATTTAATTTACTTTCTTTTCTTTTCTTTCCTTTTCTTTCTCTTTCTCTTTCTCTCTCTCTCTCTCTCTCTCTCTCTCCCCCCCCCTTCCTCTCTCTCTCTCTCTCTCTTTCATAGGAGTCTCACTCTGTCGCCCAGGCTGGAGTGCAGTGGCACGCTGGATGTACCCATCCAACTTTTTACAATTAAAAAGCTTGGTGTTAAATGAAAATGAAGCCTTATATAGTTCTTCTTTCAACAAGAAAGAAAATCCGCAGCCTCAACCCACTGGGCTCAGGCGATCTTTCCGCCTCAGCCTTCCTTGTAGCTGGAACCACAGGCGTGCACCATCATACCCAACTAATTTTTTGATTTATTGCAGAGACAAGGTCTCACCACGTTGCCCAGGCTGGTTTCCAACCCCTGGGCTCAGGCGATCCTCCTGCCTCCACCTCCCAAAGTGCTGGGATGACAGGCGTGACTAATTTACTTTCTAAATAAACTGTATTTTCCAACCTAAAAAACAAAACAAAACAAAAAAATAAATGGAACAAATTTCACAAAATAAAAAATAACTAAAAGGAAGCATTGTAATGAGAACAAGGGAATCATATAATTACGTCCATTATTTTATAGTGAGAAGATAATGCTTAAAATCAGTAAACAGAGAAACAGAAAGTCAAGCATATTATTCAAGTTTATGGAGGTGATCGTGATAATAAAAATAGACATCACCGGGAGAGGTTACCTTGGAACACGGCAACCCAGATGGAGGTGGAGGAGTTTATATATTTGTTTGCTTGGCTTTTCCCTCTTTTTTTCCACTTCAGTAGTTTTGGGGGATACAAATATATATATTTGATGTTTTTACTTTTCTGTGCTGCTTAAATTTTTTCCATTTGATGTATTACTTGCATAATATACACTCATGGTATAAAAGTATCACTAAAAAGATCATATCTAGTCACAATTTGGTTACGTATTTCGCAAAAAACATACTAATGCAGATGAAAGCATGTGTTATTAATGCTGTTCATACTTTTATGTTTTTTTGTACAGCAGAATCATGAGGCAGACCTTGCTTTGTCATATCTACGTTTTGGGGGGACTTTTGTCCTTTGGTATCCGGTACACATCTTCCGCTCATCAGTGCACTGTGAGCCGCGAAGTAGCTGACTGCAGCCACCTGAAGTTGACCCAAGTACCTGACGACCTCCCTACAAACATAACAGTGTTAAATCTTACCCATAATCAGCTCAGAAGGTTGCCACCTGCCAATCTGACACGGTATAGCCAACTTGCTATCTTGGATGGAGGATTTAACAGCATCTCAAAACTGGAGCCAGAATTGTGTCAAAATCTCCCCTTGTTGGAAGCTTTGAACCTCCAGCACAATGAACTCTCTCAACTTTCTGACAAAACCTTTACTTTCTGCCTGAGTTTGACCGAACTCCATCTAATGTCCAACTCAATCAAGAATATTCAAAATAATCCTTTTAAAAACCAGAAGGTAAGATGAAAATACTGATGTACATATAAGAAATGAAAAATGTTATCTAATGTTAAATTTTCGCGTCATACAGTTATTCTTAGACTTTAATAGCTAAATAGCGAGGTAAGCGTGAGGAATCGGATCCACCCCAATTGGTGGTGAGACATATACAGATATTTCCATTATGATTGAAAATGTTTCCGAAAGAGAAAAGCTGCAAATTTATTTTTAAAGAAGTCTGCTTCCCTTGCTGTCTCCCATTAGAAACAGGACTTAAATACAAGAGACAGACATTATGATCCAAGAGAGTCAAAATATTGTATGAGGAACATGGAAAATAAACTCTCAATGCTGCTGATTTAGTATGTGACATAACAAAAAATGTTGAGTATAAAGACTGACTTAAAGTTAGCAAGCTGGCACAAGATATAGCAAATTGTTCACCTAAAAATTACCTATTCTTCTTAAACTATCACCGTTCCAATAGCTACCACAATTTTCTTATCAGCACTTTGCTTGGGGATTTTTCAATTTTTTTCCTTGTATTTTTAGTTGACACATAATAATTGTACACAGTTATGAAATTCAATGTGTAATGACTACATCAGGTTAACTAGCATATCCATTGCCTTAAATATTTATCATTTCTTTGTGTTGTAAATATTCAAAATCTTCTCTTCCAGCTTTTGGAAAATATACAATAAGTCAGTTAACTGTATTCACTCTACAGTGCTGCAGGACACCAGGAAAAAAATGCATGTTATTGTCTCTAAAGCTGAGGAAAATTATTGTGCTTACAATTATTGTGCTTTTCTTAAACCAAAGTGATTTCAAGTCTCTTTGTTTTCTTCATTTTTTTGTCCTTATAAAAAATTTAGCATCGCTCCTCCTCAGAGTTCAATAATAATATATAAATTTAAATATGCTGTGAAACATACAGTGATTTGCTCACTAGCTATCTTAAATGCTTTCTTATGCCTGCTTAAATTCTGTGTGGTTGAAATGTCTTTGGATACAAAGACTTCAAAATCTGGTAGAGAAATCGTTGGCAAAATGTTAATTTTATTTTTGAAACATAAATAAGAGACTGGTTCTCTGTAATAGAGATTACATAGGATTTTGCCCTAACAGATAACCAACTTTTCCTTATCTTTTACCTGAGTTTGATGTTTAAGTGTTCAAAAGTAAAACCAGGCCGGGCGCGGTGGCTCATGCCTGTAATCCTAGAGTTTGGGGAGGCAGAGGCGAGAGGATTGCCTGAGCCCAGGTGTTCGAGACCAGCCTGGGCAACTTGGCGAGACCTCGTTTATATAATAAATCAAAAAATTAGCTGGACGTGGTGGCACGAGCTTGTAGTTCCAGTCACTGAGAGATTGAGGTGGAAGGATTGCCTGAGCCCAGCAGGTTGAGGCTGCAGTAGCCCTGAGCATGCCACTTCACTCCAGCCTGGGTGACAGAGTGAGACGCCAATTCAAAAAAAAAATGAAAAAGTAACACTGGGTGATAAAACACCCCACAGCACCGACAGAACATACAAAAATTAATGTTCTGTTCTAGTCACCATCCCAAATTTACATAACTGTGAATCTTTCTCAATATAAAATTTATTTAGGATTTTATGGACGATAAAGTCTTACTCATGTTTTTTAAGGAACTATGTTTTCTTTTTACTGCTATTTTCAAGGCTAATGCATGACACTTTATGCTTGATAAGTCACATGACTACTCACATCATCTGTAAATGTTTATTACAAATGCATAAATAAATTATGAATTTTTTATATCATAAGTAAATAAGCTTAAATCTTTTATATTTTGGTAAGAAAAATAAAGCGAGTCCTAAAATAAGAAACTAAATTTTTGCAACAATGGCGTTTTTAGCCACAATAAAGATTATTTATTACTCTTGTTGTCAGTTTTCTACAAAATGGTAGAGAGATGGTGTTTTGCTGTTGAGGTATTTCTAAGATTCATTTTTATTTGGAGGAAGTTTCTGATGACAAGACTCTTACATATTGTTTTTTTCTCTCAGAATTTAATCAAATTAGATTTGTCTCATAACGGTTTATCATCTACAAAATTAGGAACTCACGTCCAACTGGAAAATCTCCAAGAGCTTCTATTATCAAACAATAAAATTCATGCACTAAGAAGTGAAGAACTTGATTTCCTTGCAAATTCATCTTTAAAAAAATTAGAGTTATCGTCAAATCAAATCAAAGAGGTAAGAAGTAAGGCCAAATGCGTTCTACCTTTCAATGTGGGTAGTCCTTAACTATGTTACACAAGTAGGAGTGGTGGCCTTTGCCAAGTCTTCCAGAAGTCCTTCGCATCTACTGCTGGGGGCCACTCACAGCAGAGTTTAGGCAGCCTCAGAAGACATCGGGAGAGAGGACTCTGCCGTCCAACAATGCCAGGTTCAAATCCCTGTGCCATAATGAACAGCTCTTTGACCTTGGGGAACTGATTTAAGCCCTGAGTCTCTTCATTTGCAAAGTGAAAAATAGTACTCTCTAGCTCACAAAAGCTCTGCAAGAATTAAAACATATGACAGCGAAGAGCCCGGAATTTAGAGTTCGGCTCGCAGGCCCCCTCCCTGGACTTTGTCTTTTAACAATTGGGCAGTCAGGTAAGTTGTTCACATTCTCTCTGCTCTAGCTCCCCAGTTTTTCAAATTGGCATAATAATAACGCTACTTCATAGGACTGTGTGGTAAAGAATTTAGGATAGTGCCTGGCATGTAAGTGCTCAATAAACAACAAGTAGCACTATGGTAGTACAAAAACGTTCCTGTAATGAAGTAAGCCTAATACTATCTCTTTTTGTATCTTTGATTTTCAAATGAACTATTTTCATATGCAAGCTTATCTGTATTCTACACACCTTTTTTTTTCCTTTACAGGAAAGATATAAAAACATTGAAAATTCTTAAATAAAACAGTTTTTCTAAAAAGCTGTATTATTTTTCAGACATAAAAATAGACCGTGTACAAAATTATCTTGAGATAATAATAAAGTATTTTGTGCAAGCTACTCTTTTTATTTTATGTGTATAGTCTTTTAAATCAGCTTATTCTTCTGTCATTTTACACAAGAGTAAGCTGAGATAAGTAAGGTTTATGTGACACATCTCAGACCCCATAGGGGATCACTTGGGACAGAGCTGGGTTTCTGCCTCAGTTAGACCAGAGTCCCTGACCCTAACAGCTGTGCCTTTTCGCCCCTTGGGGACAATGATGTCTCCTGCTTTTTAAATTAATGTCATATCAGAAACATCTCCCATGGAATTAAGAAACATTCAAATACTTAATTGTAGTGGCTTCAAAACAATTCTACATGTAGATTTATTATAATTAATTTCATAATTTCTTGCTTTGCATTTTAACTCATTTGCAACAAAGCATCCTTTCTTCCACACTTCTCTCTTGACCCGTAACTCCCTGGTGGATTTCACTACAAGGGACTGGCTGTTGTCCTGTCTGGGTCCTTTTATCATGCCTGCTGCTGTCGTGTCCCAGCTCTGAATCCCAGAACAGTCGGGGCTCTGTGAGGGGAGGGGATTGGAGCAGAAGGGAGCTAGGAACGCTGTAGTAAAATAAAGCCAGGTGCGAAGACAGAAAGGACAGCTCAGATATTCAGAGGGAAAGATGTGTGTCGCTTTTCGTAATAAAAACCGTCCAGTCCTTCCTTCTGTGACATCTACTGAGAACAAGCGGTCACCGAGACAGAACCGGGATGGGTCCCAGGGTGGCTTCATGAGTAGTCTGGGTAGGGGCTGCAGCAAGAAGTGGGTGTTAAGGCAGAGTGAAGAAGGAACAGTGTATTAGGAGGGGAATGGAAAGAAATGCCCTGCCCAAGGACCATGGTGAATGGTGAATGAAGTCCAAGTAAAGAATTGTATTTAAACCTCTCAATGGCCTTACATAGTCTATTGTATTTTGATAATTAACCTCTTTTTTTTTCCTTCCCACCTTTAGTTTTCTCCAGGGTGTTTTCATGCAATTGGAAAGTTATTTGGCCTCTTCCTGAACAATGCTCAACTGGGCTCCAGTCTCACAGAGAAGCTTTGTTGGGAATTATCAAACACAAGCATTCAGAAGCTGTCTCTGAGTAACATCCAGCTGGACACAACCAGCAATGTAACCTTCACCGGGCTAAAGCAGACAAATCTCACCATGTTGGACCTTTCATATAATAGCTTACGGGTGATTGGGAACGATTCCTTTACTTGGCTTCCGCATTTAGAATATTTATTCCTGGAGTATAATGCTATACAGCACTTGTATTCTCACTCCTTTTATGGGCTTTTCAATCTGAGATACCTGAATTTGAAACGATCTTTTACTAAACAAAGTAATTCCCTTGGTTTGCTTCCCAAGATTGATAATTTTTCTTTTCAGTGGCTAAGATTGTTGGAGAATCTTAACATGGAAGATAACAATATTCCAGGCATAAAAAGCAATATGTTCACCGGATTGATAAATCTGAAATACTTGAGTCTATCCAACTCTTTCACAACTTTGCAGACTCTAACAAATGAAACATTTTTATCACTTGCTCATTCTCCTCTGCACGTACTGAATCTAACCAAAAATAAAATCTCAAAAATAGAAAGTGGAACTTTCTCTTGTTTGGGCCACCTGAAAATACTTGACGTTGGCCTGAATGAAATTGAGCAAGAACTCACAGGCCAGGAATGGAGAGGTCTAGACCATATTTTTGAAATCTACCTTTCCTACAACAAACACTTGAAACTTACTAGCAACTCCTTTGCCTCGGTTCCAAGCCTTCAACGACTGATGCTTCGAAGGGTGGGCCTTAAAAATGTGTCTAGCTCTCCTTCGCCCTTCCACCCTCTCCGTAACTTGACTATTCTGGATCTAAGCAACAACAACATTGCCAACATAAATGATGACATGTTGGAAGGTCTTGGGAAACTAGAAATTCTGGATTTGCAGCATAACAACTTAGCAAGGCTCTGGAAACATGCAAACCCTGGTGGTCCTGTTTATTTTCTAAAGAATCTTTCTCGCCTCCATATCCTTAACTTAGAGTCTAATGGCTTCGATGAGATCCCAGCCGAGGCCTTCAAGGATTTATCTGAATTAAGGGGCATCAGTTTAGGATTGAATAATTTAAACATACTTCCACCATTCGTCTTTGATAAGCAAGTGTCACTGAAGTCATTGACCCTTCAGAAGAATCTTATAACATCAGTTGAGGAGAATGTCTTTGGGAAAGTTTTCAGGAACCTGAGTGATTTAGATATGCGCTCTAATCCATTTGACTGTACGTGTGAAAGTATTGCCTGGTTTGTTAACTGGATTAATAAGACCAATACCAACATCTCTGAGCTATCGAGTCATTACCTCTGCAACACTCCGCCTCAATATCATGGATTTCCAGTGATGCTTTTTGATATATCACCCTGCAAAGACAGTGCCCCCTTTGAACTCCTTTTCACCGTCAATACCACTATCCTGTTGAGTTTTATCTTTATTGTACTGCTCATCCATTTTGAGAGCTGGAGGATATCTTTTTATTGGAACGTTGCAGTACATAGAGTTCTTGGTTTCAAAGAAATAGACAAACAACCAGAGCAGTTTGAATATGCAGCATATGTAATTCATGCCCACAATGACAAGGATTGGGTCTGGGAACAATTCTCCCCAATGGAAGAGAAAGACCAATCTATCAAATTTTGTCTGGAAGAAAGGGACTTTGAGGCAGGTGTCCTTGAACTGGAAGCAATTGTTAATAGCATCAAAAGAAGCAGAAAAATTATTTTTGTTATAACACATTATCTATTAAAAGATCCATTATGCAAAAGGTAAGTGAACATTGTTAAATTTTAAGTGTGTTTCTGCTTTTCAATAGAATTTTTAAATATTGCCAATGTTATTACCCAAAACTCAAATAATTTTTAGAATAAAATTAAGAAAAAACATAAAACTGATTTTTAGTGACAGATTAAATGTTACAGAGAATTTTAGATTGCAGCACTTTTGGCTGTTAAAAACTATGTATGTATTATATAACTTAATTCAATATATTTCTTTACTTAGATTCAAGGTACACCATGCAGTCCAGCAAGCTATTGAACAAAATCTGGATTCCATTATACTGATTTTTCTTGAGGAGATTCCAGATTATAAACTGAACCATGCACTCTGTTTGCGAAGAGGAATGTTCAAATCTCACTGCATCTTGAACTGGCCAGTTCAGAAAGAACGGATAAATGCCTTTCATCATAAATTGCAAGTAGCACTCGGATCCAAAAATGCAGTGCATTAAATTTATTTAAAGATGACAATAGCAAAGGAGAAACCTTCTTAATTTAAAAAGTTCCATGGTAATTTTGAGCTTCACTTAAAATAGCTGTTGGGGCTCAAAAACCAATACCCTAAAATATGGCATTTTGACATGCTGAGCTGAAGAAGCCTCAAGGTTTCTCAGATCTTCCTGCCCCACCTCTTATCTCTGGATCTTCCTGCCTCCCTGTAAATCTCATTATCTCTTGCAGAAAATAGCAACAAGATGTGACCACACCTGAGCAGATCTTCTTAGGGTATAATAATGACTGTCTCCAAGGGTCATTTACATTCTAAGGAAAACTATTTACAAATTCGTCTCTGTTCTCTGGTCCAATCATTGTCCCTAGCGATCACTTGTTACCCCTCAATTCCTCTTCTTTCCCCATCCATAACCTGCTTTTTTTTCTATTTTATTTTATCTTATTTTAGAGATGTGGGATACAAATCAGAATTAGGTATACAAATGATCATTGTCCAGGTAAAATTTTGCAATAATCCATTCTTTCCTTAGCTGGAAGTTGGTATTTAAGATTTTGTAGCTCATTGGGAATTTGGGTTTTCATTCTGCAGGCTTCCATGTATACATGTTAAATAAATTTGTCTGCCTTTTCTCCTATACCTTTAGAAAGCCAATGACCATGGGCCCCACATAATGTAATCTGCTTATTCAAATTTGTAGGTGATAATATTATCTCATAATTACATCTCTTCTATGGAAATTTATCAATTTCAGGCCTCTTATTGACAACTGACTTAATTTGACTCAGAACAAACATATAAGCATATTAGAATATTCTCTACTAATGAATATGCAGTTAGTTACTGAGGCCTATGACAAAAGAGTTTGAAAATATTCCTCATTTAAGAAAAATTAGAGTTGTATGAGAGTTTGTGATGATCATTTATTTGGGGGGAATGCACTCAGAGTGAAAGATCATTACTTCAATGGATATAATGCTATTTCAACTGTAAAATAGTGAAATATATATCCACAGTTTTAAAAGTTTGATGGCAATATTTTTCAATTGAAAAGCTTTATATTATAGTACACCTGTCACAGTGTTGACTTTATTAAATGTTACATATATTTTTAATATGCATACTCAAAAGCAGAAAACATTTACAATTGATTTTGATTTTTGAATGAAATAACTATTGTAATGAATACTTAATTTGTATTTTCCTGGTAAGTGGGTTTCTGCTATAGCAGGATAGAAACAATTTTCTTACTTAAAAAATATTATAGTGCCGGGTTCAGCGGCTCAGCCTATAATCCCGCGCCTTTGGGAGGCTGAGGTGAGTGGACTGCCTGAGCCCGCGAGTTCGAGACCCGCCTGGGCAGCGAAACCTCATCTCTACAATAAATCAAAAAATCAGCCGGGCGTGGTAGCGCATGCCTGTAATTCCGGCTACTTGAAAGGCTGAGGCGGAAGGATCGCCGGAGCCCAGCAGGTCGAGGCTGCGGTGGCCGGGAGTGGCCACTGCACTCCAGTCTGGGTGTCAGAGTGAGACTCCAACTCAAAAAAAAAAAAAAAAAAATTATAGAAAGGTTTTCTTTCTGAAGAGTAATCAGTAGACTGACTTTGAAGAAACAAAGAATTTCCCTTCCATGATCACAGACCCAGGAGATGGTATAGGTCAAATCACTTGGTCCCCCTGGGACTCTTTGACTCCTGATCTTGAAAATTATAATGAAAATTAAAATCCTAAGTATTCCTGTATAGTTAGTGATGATGATAATTGCATGATATATTCATATGAAGTGTATTTTTAAATTTTTTATAAATTTATTTGGCATCTTTTACAATTTAACAATTTAATATTTGAAAAGGAAATTATTTTCAAATAATTTGAAAAGGAAATTATTTTCAAATAATTTGAAAAGGAAATTATTTCAAATAATTTGAAAAGGAAATTATTTCATCTATCAGTTCTCTCACTTGTATACATCTTTGCTATTTTGTGTTCTATAGTTTCCTGGAAAGATTTTTTTTTTTAATTTAAATTTTATTTTAGAATCGGGGTACATGGGAAGATTTGCTGCATAGATATACCGCATGAAGATGAGGCTTGAGCTTCTGATGAGCCATCCCTGTCCCTGGTAATGAGCATGGAACCTGACGAGTGGTTTGGCATCCCTTATGCTCCCCCCTTTCTCCCCACTTAGCAGTGCACAGTGTCTGTTGTTCCCATCCTTATGCCATGTGCTCAGTATTTAGTACCCACTTGTGAATGAGAGCACGTGGTATTCAGTTTTCTGTTTCAGTTATAATTCTCTTAGAATGATGGCCTCCAGCTGCACCCATGTTGCTGCAAATGTAATACTTTTGTTCCTTTTTATAGCTGTGTAATATTCCCTAGCATAGTATTCCAGTCCACTGTCGGTGGGCACCTGGGTTGGTTCCATGATTTTGGTATTATGAATACTGCTGTGATAAACATACAAGTGCGGGTGTCTTTTTGGTAGAATGATTTATGCTCCTTTGGGTATATACCCAGAAGTGGGATTGCTGAGTCAAATGGTAGATCTTTTCTAGTTCTTTGGGAAATCTCCCAACTGCTTTCCACCGGGGTTGAAGTAGCATACTTTCCCACCAAGAGTGTACAAGTGTTCCCTTTTCTCTATAACTTCAGAGAAAAATTTTTGGTTTTTTTTTTTTTTAACTTCTTAATAATAGCCATTCTGACTAGTGTGAGACGGTTTTGATTTGCAGTGCTCTGAAAATTAGTGATATTAAGTATATTTCATGTTTGTCACTTATATGTCTTCTTTTGAGAAGCGTCTGTTCATGTCCTTTGCCCACTTTTTAATGAGGTTATTTGTTTTTTTCTGTCGATTCTTTTGAATTCCTTCTGGATTCTGGATATTAGGGCTTTGTCAGAGGCACAGTTTGCAAATATGTTCTCCCATCCTATGGGTTGTCTCTTTACTCTCTTTTGCTTTTATGTTGCAGAAGCTTTTAAGCTTGATAAAGTTCCAACTGTCAGTTTTAGTTTTTGCTGCATTTGCTTTTGAGGACTTGGTCGTGAAATTATTGCCTAGGTTGATGTCTAGGAGAGTGTTCCCTAGGTTTTCTTCTAAGATATTTATAGTTTAAGGTCTTACATTTTAGTCCTTGATCCATTTCGAGTAATTTTTTTGCAAATAGATTAGTAGGAGTCCAGTTTCCTTCTGCATATAGTTTTCCCAGCACCATTTGTTTAATAGGGTGTCCTTTCCCAATGTTTGTTTTTATTGGCTTTGTCAAAGATTAGTTGATTGTAGGTCAGTAGTTTTATTTCTGGGTTCTCTATCCTGTACCATTGGCTTATGCATCTATTTTTGTACCAGTACTCTGCTGTTTTTGTTACTATAGCCTTGCAGTAAAGTTTGAAGTCTGTGAGTGTAATGCCGCCAGCTTTGTTCTTTTTGTTGAGGATTGTTTTGGCTATTTGGACTCTTTTTTAACTTTTTTTTTTTTTTGAGTTGGAGTCTCACTCTGTCGCCCAGACTGGAGTGCAGTGGCCGCTCCCGGGTACTATGGACATCTTAACAATATTTATTTTTCCAATCCATGAACATGGGATATTTTCCCATTTCTTAGTGTCTTGTTTGTTTCCTTTAAGCAGTGTTCTTTAGTTTTCATTGTAAAAATCTTTCATTTCTTTGGTTAGATGTATTCCAAGGTATTTTATTTTATTTTTGTGGCTATTTTATTTTTGTGGCTATTGTGAATTGAATTGTGTTTTTGATTTGGTTTTCAGCCTGCTTGTTATTGGTGTATAGAAATGCAACTGATTTTGTATCTCAAGACTTTATTGAAGTTGTTTATCATCGCTAGGAGCTTATTGGTAGAATCTTTGGAGTTTATTGGTGGAATCGTATCACCTTAGAAGAGAAATAATTTAACTTCCTTTTTTCCTATTTGGATATCTCTAATTTCTTTTCTTTGTTTTTGTTTGCTCCCCCTAGGGCATCACACAAAATATATTGTTAATTTAACGTAAAATAATACACTATGTGTTAGTTTTTGTCAAGAAAGACGACTGAGTTTCATCCCAAAATGCTGGGATTACAGGCATGAGTCACTGTGTCCCATCCCTAGTCCCAGTTTG